GTACACCACTACACCCGGCTAACACAGATTTTGATGGAGACTCAGCCAGGGACACCTTTCTCCCAGCAGGTACCTGACCACTTACCTCTGCTTTCAAGAGTGAGCATTACTTCCCAACCAAGAAAGACCCCTCCCCAAGCTGGGAAAGGATGGATCTGGGACCCACTGTGAGTCAGGTGAATACTGTGTCCATGCTACAAGAGGAACAGCAGCTAGAGTGTGCAAGGGACAGTGGCCTTAAAGGTGTGCTTGAGACAGCGTCAGATCTCTGTTCTGGATTGAAGTCAAGGTGGGATCTCCCGGAATTCCCACAGAAGCACTGAGAAGCCGCCTCCCATTTCCAGCAGCCTGTTTCTGTGAAGCAGGGTTTTCGGCGGTGAGAACCATCTAGCTGCAGGGAAGCAGCTCAGGCCACCCACCCATTCTGCATTATGGTGAGTTGCGACGGAAAAAAGCACACAATAAATAGTGCACTCAGGCCTGAAACCATCTCCCCCACCCCCAGCCTGTGGAAAATTTGTCTTCAGAAAAGTGGTCCTTGGTGCCAGAAAGCTGGGGACTGCTGAGCTAGACTGACCAAAGCTGGGAAAGCTGGGAAAGAAGGCTATGGACTACCATTCTACAGACATTTAAAGGAGAATGTGGACAATTTCATGCCAAAAATTTAAATGGTACATCTTTCAGAAAGGCCCAAATTCCAACTGATTGAAGAAATAGAAAACCTGTAAGACACAACAAAAATTTTGCATTAGTAGTTTAAAATCTTCCTGCAAAAAAATGTCCAGATCCAGATGACTTCTCTTGGATTTTTTTCAAATTGATTTTTTAAATTTATTTTTTATTTGTTTTGGTACTGAGAATGGAACTCCGGACCTTGTGCTTGCCAGGCAGGCGCTTGAGCCACTAAGCTATATCCTCGGCCTAATTTTTGTCAAATTCATAAAGTAACACAATTCATTCACAAACTCAGAAAATAGGGGAGGATCATCTCCCAACTCATTCGATAAGACTAGTGTTAGTCTTATACCAAAACCAGACAAAGACATCACAAAAACAAAATGGTAAGCGAGTATCCCACACGAACACAGACACAACCCTCACTACAGTATTAGCAGCTGGGGGTGGGGGCCAAGCCTATGCTCCCAGCAGTTGCCTAGCAGGTGCAAGGCCCTGGGCTCCATCTCCACCACACAAATCAAATGACATAGAAGTGAGACACCGTGACCAAGAAGAATTTATCCTAGGAATGCAAGACTTTTATTTTTAATTACTATATGAGTAGAAGAAGCCACCAAAGCTACGTGATTATCGCAAGCACAGAAAGAATTATAAAATCTAACAACTAGGAACAAAAGGGGAACTTGTTCAGCTTTAAAAAGTGTCTGAAAAATCTACAGTTGGCTATTGAAGACCAATGTTTAAGACTACTGAAGACCAATGCTCAAGGTTTTAGAGAAAGCAGGGATGTCTTTTTTTTTTTTTTTTTTTGTATTAGGGATTGGACCTGTACCCTTTGCTGAACTATATCCCTAGCCCTTTTAAATTCTGAGATGAGGTTTCACTAAGTTGCTAAACTGCACAGGCGGGGCCTGAATTTCTGATCCTCCTGCTTCCATCTCCCAGAGTGCTGGAATGATAGGTGTGGGCCACCATCCCAGCTAGGGGGGTCTCCTTTTTCCAGTGCAACACTGTACTGAAGTTTCTAACCAATTCAGTTAGGAAGAAGACCAAAAAGGGCATCTATATTAGAAAGGAGAAAGGAAAGTGTATTCACAAGTGACATGCCCCTGTACGTAAACATCCCAGAGAAGCTATACCTGCAGATAATGGAACAATAAATTTAGCACGGTCAAAGGGCGCCAGATCAATGTACAAAAATGATTACTTCTATAACAAGAAACAATATAGAAATGAAGGTTTTATTCACAGAAGCATTAAAAGGCATGGAATACTTGTAAGACCCACAATGAAAACTGCAAACTTCTGAGGAATAAGATATAAATCTAAGGTTCTAAACCAGGGGCGATTATTTCCACAAAGGACTACTTGGCTGTATGTGGGGATGGTTTTGGCTGTCATACCTTGGAGGGGTTGCTGCTGGCACCTGGGGGGTAGAGGCCAGGGGTGGACAATAAAGGCCGTAAAGTGCATAGGAGAGCCCTGCAACAAAAAGTTGTCCAGCCTCAAATGTCAATAATGCTAATGCTGAAAAATCCCAACTTAAGTAAATGGAGAGGCGTTTCATGTTATGGATTGCAAGATTTATATATATATATATACACACACGTGTGTTTTGTTTTTCTGAGACAAGATCTCAGTATGTAGTTCATGCTGGCTTAAGCTCACTATGTAGCCCAGGCTGGCCTCAAACAGGGCAATCCTCCTGCCTCAGCCTCCCAAGCAGTGGGATTACTGGGATGTACCACCCTGCAATATTGTGAGGATGGCAATTCTGAAATTGATCTGTAAATTCAACATAATCTTTTTCAAAATTCCAGGAGGATTTTTCCTGTAGAAACCAACAAGCTGATTGTAAGATGGAAGTGCAGAAGGCCTAGAGTAGCAAATCAAATTTTATTTTATTTTGAGATAGGATCTCACTGTATCTCAGGCTGGCCTCGAATTCTACAATCCTCCTGCCTCAGCCTTCCCCGTGCTGGAGCTATAGGGATGCGCCGCCACATCTGGTGCAAAACCACTTTTAAACTCAAGGAGGGTGATAAAACTTACTATAAACTACAGTAATCAGGAGAGTTTGGTATTAGCACAATAGGCGTATAAATAATGAAACAATCAGGTCAGCTGACTTTTAACACAAATGTGAAGGCAATTCAAAGGCAAGTTTTCAACCAATAATCTGAGATAAAATTTATCTGCAGGGGCCGGGGATTTAGCTCAGTGGCACAGCACCTGCCCGGCAAGCGCAAGTTCCTGAGTTCGATTCCCGGTACCAGAAAAAAAAAAAAAAAAACCAACAAAATTTATCTGCATGTCAAAACAAAAGCTCCATCAAAACAAATTTTAGACCTTACATGATATATATATATACACACACACACAAAATGAACTCAAAAGCACAAACTTTAAAACTTTAAAATTTCTAGAAAAGAAAACTTAAGAAATTCTTCACAATTTTTGAGTTAGGCAAAGATTGCTAGTTATGTTACCCAGAGCATGACTCAGAAAAGAGAAAAGATGATTATAGACTTGACCAAAATTTAAAAGATTAAAGATGAGCTACAGTCTGGAAGGAAGTATTTCCAAAGGTTGGGCATGTGGTGCACGCCTGTAATCCTGACATTTGGGAGGCTGAGGTAGGAGGATTGGCCTGAGTTTGAGGCCAGGCTGGGCTACATAGTGAGACCATGTCTCAAGAAAACAAAAGCATTTACAAATCATACCTGTGATGAAGGCATTGTATCCAGAATATGTAGAAAACTTTGACATCAGTAAGATAAAGACAACTTCTTTTGAAAATGGGCAAAGATTTGATTGGACATTTCCCCCAAAAAGATTTAAGAATGGCTGAAGAGCATAGGGAAGATGTTCAACATCACTGGTCATTAGGGAAACGTCAGAACAATAAGATACCACTATCTATAAAATATTGGTGAGACTAGAGGGAAACTGGAACTCTCATAATTGTTGGTAATGTAAGATGTTACAGACACTCAGGAAAAGTTTGGCATTCTCTTAAGTGAACTTTACAGCTCCGCAATTTCATTTCCAAGAGCCTACCCAAAATAAGAAAGAACATGTTTACACAGACATCTATAAAAGTTCAACATTATTTATACTTGCCCTATACTAGAAATAATATAAATGTCCATCAGCTAGTAAGTAGATAAACAAAACGTTATTGTGTTAACATAAGTAGATGTTAATCTTACATCCATAGAACAAAATCATATCAACATGCACAGGGCTGGGGATTTAGCTCAGCGGCAAAGCGCCTGCCTCGCAAGCGCAAGGTTGTGAGTTCGGTTCCCGGTACCGGGAAAAAACAAAACAAAACAATGTACAAAGTACTGATTCATGTAAGCATATGAATCTCAAAAGTCATCCTGCGATCACTTGGTGGATTTTATTTTATTTTTGTCTTTTTGAGACAGTGTCTCAAATTACCCATAAAAGTTACAAAAAGTTAGCTCTTCAAAGTGGGTTCATATTATAGAGGCCCCTAAGGTTTCTGTTTGGTTTGTTTTTGATTCAGGGTCTCACTGTGTAGCTCAGGCTGGTCTTGAACTCACTGTGTAGCCCAGGCTGGGCCTGAACTCACCGCTATCCTCCTGCCCCAGCCTCCCAGGTGCAGAGATTACAGGCGTGCGCTGCCACGCCCAGCTTCTTGATCACTTTGCTCAAGCCAATGCTAGTACAATGGCTTTCCTACTTTATGGATTTCGGGTCTTGGATATACATAGTCTTCAAGAATTCTCGTATGCATTTAGAATCAGAGCGTGCCTCTGGTGAAAATGAAAAAAAAAAAGAAAAATAGCAAGATTATTCGCAACTACACAGAGTTGGAAGAGTTTTGGCTCCTACGACAGAGGAACCCTCCCAAATAGCAAGAGAAACAAGACTGGCGGGCTCCCCGTGGCGTCCCAAGAAAGGGGAGAACGTGAGACTACCCGGCAGGCCACGTCGGCTTGCCCTGCTCCCTTTAGGCAGGCAGTAAAGTATCAGAGTACGGGCTCCAGGGCCCAGCGGGCCTGAGTTCAAATCCCGCCAGTGCCCGTTCAGCGAGGCGTCTGAACAAGCTTAGCGGCCTCAGCGTTAGCGTGGCAGTACTCACAGGCCCGTGAGGACTAAACGGGCTAATAGGACTTCGCAGTGAGGACACGGTTCAGGGCTCAGCAAGGACTCGCACAAGTAGGACGGCACCGCCCGATCCTAGCTCTCTGCCCCGCCGCGTTCGTCTCACCAGGGGCTCACCTAGACTTCCGGACCGCCGCAGTCACTATGGTAACGGCCACACACTTCCGGAAGAAGTACGGCGCGCGGCGAGGGTCAGACCCTCCGCAGCCAGGGAGAACTGACAGAGGGGGCTGCCGAGCGGTGGTGTCTGTGTCTGAGGGTCCGTCGCGCAGCCTCGGGGGCCAGGCCCGTGCTGTCCCAGGGCCCCCGCTTCTGTGCCCTCGCTGCCGCCGGCCGCGCCGCCATGGACTTCTCCAGGTTCCTGGCCGACGACTTCGACGTGAAGGAGTGGATTAACGCGGCCTTCCGGGCCGGCCCGCAGGAGGCCGCGGCGGGGAAGGCGGACGGCCACGCGGCCACGCTGGTGATGAAGCTGCAGCTGTTCATCCAGGAGG